ATATCGTTTCAATGCTTTATGAAGGTTGTTGATATCACCAAACCCAGTCTTGTTCCATACTTTTTTTTTCCTTGAGAAACAATAGGCATGGCCAACAACAATTTTCCTATATTACAGCAACTGGATAGCCACTCTGTTTAGAATAATGTTCCAAATTAAATTTCCTCACACATAATTTGGTTTGTGCTTTAATTTCTGGCACCTCTCATGTCAGTCATCCTCTTTCTATAATTATTTCCTTTTCAGAAAAGTCCCTGCTATTAAACCCCCGTTTTAAAAGGCTTTCGATTTCACAGTCACAGTCACGTTGTCTGCCAGCATTCATTTTAGCTGTGGCCTGTGCGTGTAGTCTGTTCATGCCCCTGCCACTCTTACCACATTATCAGACTTGCTTCCCTTAAACGCGGTTAGCTTCTTTCTGATGCGTCAAAATACGATCACAAATACAATCTTATGTCATATAAATATGCACTTACAATATTTTAATAAAACTTAATGTTACCTATAACACCCAACAAGACTGAAATCACACATAAACAGTTAATTTTCACATAACCATTGAAAGAACACATTCCTTAGCTTCCATATCACAGGCATTAGCCAGCAAACCAAAAGTTGCTTCCCTGCCCACTTCGTGTGAGACGAATTCCTACAGAGATTAACGAAGGAAACTTGGTCTGTCTCACCAAGCACGGTTAAGGAGGGAGAGGCATGTGGCCTTGACCAGGAACACACGCCAAATGATAATATTCAAATCCTTATTATTCAAATTGAATTATTTATATATGACTTCTTTTCTATTCATTTCTTAACTACCAAAGAAATGCTTCCCTTGTTTCCATGAATGGCACCCCACTGTGTTAAAGTATAAGTGGAAGAAAAAAGAACAGTTCATTGCATTATTGATGGACTGTGTTACACATAGATGTTTTAATATGGCTTGCAAAAGGATGCTTAAATACAGAATTTGTGCATGGAATGTGATAAATCTGTATAGGATAGGTTCACTTTTGAAAGTTGTGAAAGAAATGTCAAAATATAAGTTACATATAGTGGGACTACAGGACAGAGGTGGCACTGAACCAGCAGCCAAATATACATTTTTCTATGGAAAGGGGAATAAGAATCCTGTGTTAGGTTCATGTTCATATCAGCAATTAAAAGGGTAGAGTTTGTTTATGATAAGATGTCATATGTAATACTAAGAGGGCACTGGTGTGATCTTGTTCTGAATATTCATGCCCAACAGAGGATAAAACTGATGATATGAAGGATAGGTTCTACAAGGAATTAGAACATGTATTCGATAAATTGTCTAAATACCATATGAAAAATTTGTTAGGAGATTTCAGTGACACTTTCAAACCAACAACTGGGAATGAGAGTTTACATGAAATTAGTAATGATAATGGAGTTATAGTAGTAAACTCTACCACATGCAAAAATGTGTCAAAAGTACAATATTCCCACATCATAACATTCAGAAATTTACTCGCAGATCTCCTGATGGAGTCACAATAAAATTTACCATATTTCGATAAGATTGATTGTTACCAACACTTGGTTCAAGAAGCCAAAGAGAAGAATTTACACATGGAAGGCACCTGGGGATTGGAAGAGGCATCAGCTGGACTACATCCTTGTGAAACATCGATTCAGAAACAGTGTGAAGGATGTGAAGACGCTTCCTGGAGCAGACATTGACTCTGACCACAACTTGCTGGTTGCCAAGTTCCGAACCAGGTTGAAGAAAATTATAGGATTTCGAAAGCGCAGACCCAGATGGGATTTGGAGAAGTTATATGCTCAAAGACAAAGCGTGCAAGAGACTCTAGAAGAGAAACTCGGTGCAATTGAAGGTGAAAGCGGAAATGCTGAAGCGCAGTGGAACGATATAAAAGAATGCATGTTAGATACTATCAGTGATTTGGTAGGTAAAGTTGAGAAGATAGCAAGAAAACCATGGGTTACACAGGAGATGATGAGTAAAATGGAGGAGCGAAGAAAATGGAAGAATGTCAACAATGAAGAAGGCAGGAGGAAATACAGGAGACTGAGGAATGAATTGAAAAGAGCCACGGACAGGGCCAAAAAGGAATATCTTGAGAAGATATGTAATGAGATTATGGAATTTCAAAGAACAGGCCGTTATGATTTGATGTACATGAAGACAAAAGAACTAGGATGGAAAGAGAATCATGGGATTCAAAATGTTGGCATCGAAGACTCCCAGGGGAATAGAATAGTAGATCAGAGGCAAGTGCTGAAAATTTGGGAAAATTATATTTCAGAACTATATGATCGACCTAATCGGCCAGAAACCTTAGAAGTTGAACCGGAAGAAGAAGTAGATACAGACGAGAAAGGACCATATATTTTACAAAGTGAGGTGGAAAAAGCTATCAAGGAAATGAGGAAGGGAAAGGCTACAGGAGATGATGATGTACCTGGAGATGTGCTCAAGTTACTGGGAGAAGGTGGTTTGAAAACACTGACAAAACTAATGAACACCATATATGAAAGTGGAGAGTGGCCCAAGGACTTTACAGAAGTTACAATGATTGCCTTAAAGAAAAAGACAAAAGCTACAAAATGCAGCGACCATCGCACAATAAGTCTTATTGCACATACAGCAAAGATAATAGCAAAGATACTTAAAAGAAGAATTGAAAGGAAAATAGAGGATGTACTTGGAGAAGATCAGTTTGGATTTAGAAGAGGAAAAGGAACCAGGGATGCAATTGGGATGATGAGAATTATAGCGGAACGAACTTTGGAGATAGATGAAGAACTGTGTGTTTGCTTCATAGACTGGCAGAAGGCATTTGACCGGGTAAACTGGACCAAATTAATGCAGATCCTGAAAGAAACAGGTATCGATTGGCATGAAAGAAGATTGATTAGCAAATTGTACATGGATCAGAAAGTTAGAGTACGACTGGACAGGGGGGAGACAGGAAGTGTGCAGATTGGAAGAGGAGTTCGACAAGGATGCTGTTTATCACCAATTCTGTTCAACTTGTACAGCGAATGCCTTACCAAGGAAGCTCTGGATGGGCTCGGTGACTTCAAAGTAGGAGGGCAAATTATTCAAACTGTGAAATATGCAGATGACCTTGTGTTAATGGCTAAGGAAGAAACTGTGCTACAGGGCATGATTGATAGACTAATTGAAATTGGAAGGTGCTATGGCATGGAAATGAATGTGGAGAAAACAAAAGTAATGAAAATTTCGAGACAACCAACCCCAGTCACAATAAAGATAGACCAAAAACAAGTGGAGAATGTGAAATGTTTTAAATATTTGGGTAGCTTGTTAACAGATGATGGAAGGTGTACTTGTGAAATTAAATCCAGGATTGCCATGGCAAAAGCTGCATTTAGCAAGAAGAAGAATCTTTTTACCAGCAAATTGGACTTAAATTTGAGGAAGAAACTAGTGAAATGCTACATTTGGAGCATAGCTCTGTATGGGGCTGAAACATGGACACTTAGGGCAGTAGATCAGAAACATCTGGAAAGTTTCGAAATGTGGTGTTGGAGAAGAATGGAGAAGATCAGTTGGACCGATTATGTGAGAAATGAAGAAGTGTTAATTAGAGTCAGTGAGCAGAGGAATATCCTACATGAAATAAGAAAACGGAAGGCTAATTGGATTGGTCATGTTTTACGCAGAAACTGCCTTCTAAAAGAAGCTATCGAAGGAAAGATAGATGGGCGGATAGAAGTGACAAGAAGACGAGGAAGAAGACGTAAGAAGATGCTGGATGACCTTGGGGACAGAAGAGGATACTGTCATTTGAAGGAGAAAGCTCTAGATCGCATTAATTGGAGGAAATTTTTTGAAAGAGACTGTGGACCTGTCGTCTTGACAAATTACTGATGATGATGATGATGATGATTTCGATAACTGGGAGACTGCATTCAAGTGGACTCGATGTCCAATCATTCGGGAGAACACATCGTGAAGTTAGGGAGAGACTGGCAGTGAATAAACAAACAACGCAGAAATTTTATATGAAGACATTCGGTCTCAAGAAATTAAATGATGTAGAGAGTAAAGACCAATTGTTGAAATCTGAAATAGTTCACAGCTTTGGAAAACTTAGATGCTGAGGTGGATATTAAGAGAACTTGGGAAACTATTAGAGAGAATATCAACATTTCAGCCAAAGAGAGTCTAGGTTATTATGAAATGAAGAAGCATGAGCCATGGTTCGATGAAGAATGCTCAGAATGTTTAGGACAGAGGAAACAAACCAAATTGTAGTGGTTACAGGATCCAAGGGAAATAAATTTGGATAGTCTGAACAATATAAGAGGCATTTCAGGAACAAAAAGAGGGAATATCTGAAAGACAAAATTAATGAGCTTGCAACGAATAGCAAGAACAAGACCATTGGAAACATGTATACGAGTAGAGGAATAAATAAATTTAAGAGGGGTTACCAACCAATAAGTAGCTTTTTTTTCATGCATCCTGTTGTGTTATTATATACAGCTCTTTATTAAGTCTGTCACAACACAACAATACAGTGTTCAAGGCTAAATTAGCTTTGCTACATGTTTTGACTATTCATAGCCATCACCAGGCAAATACACCATCATATTTACACACTAGTGAACTGCAATTGCATAGTAAATCTGGATACTTGACAATTATCATATTATAAAACACGTGGTATAAATTACAATGAAATAAAACTTATTATAAAACAAGAGTTATTTTGTAAAATACGGTTAAAACTATTCAAGTGATAATCTATATCATGAAGTCAGTTGTTGCAATCTTGTATTTTCCGCAGATGTATATTCTAGACTCATATATGATAAACTGTTTTGAGGTGCATCCTTTTGTAGTGTTTATGCCTTGTGAACATGTGACTGCACCAGATTTTAAGAAAATTAATAGAATTTGAGAGATACCCAGCATGGAGCACCACAAATGTGGAATGTAACAGTGCTTGAGAAAAATTATAAGAATGTATTAATTCTTTTAGGTCGTTCAAGAAGCACTGGACAAAGCAAAGGTGGGCCGCACTTGTATCATAATTGCACATCGCCTTTCAACCATACAAGATGCTGATGTGATATTTGTAATGAATCATGGGCAGGTTGCTGAAATGGGTACCCACAGTGAACTGTTGTCCAAACATGGATTGTACTATAAACTTTGTAGTATGCAGAGTGGACCAAGGTGAAAGAGGTATGAATAAAATAGTGCTGGATGTTATTGTCATCGACAAAAATCAGACCTTCTGACTACTTCATAACTGGTAATTTATTTCCTCATTCATACTAGTAGTTTTAACCTGTCATGTCAATGCCTTATGTTGTTGCAGATTTATATTAATAATTACAGTGTGCTGTATTTTATAATAATATGTATGAAAAATAGTTTCTCTCTAGAGAAAAAGCATATGCAAGATTTTGCACAAAATTATTTCATTTTTAACTTTGCACAGGTACTATAATATGAGGGTTATCCAGAAAGTAAGTTCCAATGGGCTATTGAAAAAAAAATACAGTAGAACTTGGTTATAACGTCGTCAAAGGGACCTAAAAATAGTGTCGTTATAAACGAATGTCGTTGTAACCGAAATGGGCACTTCCACAGTAGCCTTATGTTAGTCACGTAAAAATCTACCAAAAACCGAGTTAAAATGTTGCATTTTTTAGTGAAATACGTAGTTAAGTACAGACTAACGTAACATTAACGTGGAATTGCCCAAATGTGTAATATCAAAGACATATTAGAGCGCTTTTCACTGACAATACACACAATATTTCACGAATCACTTTAACTTTCTCTTCAATGCTTAAAACTTTCCTTTTCATTGCCATGTTTTCGCTACTGCACTTCTCTGGGTTTAGGCAGGAACACTATAGGGTAAGTAGACAATGTGAGGTCCTGTTAGACGAGATTCTAGGAAAGGAATGCAGTTAACAACCTGCCGCGTCCTCTTGCACTATTCACGCAGTCCCACCCCAAACCCTTGTTTTCGCATAAAACCCACGCTCCTCTTGCAGCCCGCGGTCGTATTCTTCCAGGACAGTCACGTCAGCAAGTAGAGAAAGTGAGGGTGGGCAGACACATCGAACTTTCCCACGATATCAGAGAAATTCAGGAATGAAAATGACGTTACATACGAGGTTGATGCATTTGTGCATGTCGTACTAAGCAAGGTATAAAAACAGTTGCTTTATGAGGAATTAGTTCGTACCATTGAATATTTGACGCAATAGACAAGGTGTCGCAGAAACCGATGTTGCTATAACCAAGTTTTACTGTATTTCTAAACTATTTATATTGCAGTTTGATGTACATACCATATGCTACTTTTTGACATAGTTTCCAAAATCATTGAGGCACTTGTCATAGTGGGACACCAGTTTTTGTATCCCTGCATCATAGAATGATGCCATCTGCAATGCAAACCACATATTAATGGCATCTTTGACCTCATCATGGAATCACTTGGCACTAACTCAGGGCTGTAGGGGGATGATCAAATTGTTCCCAGACAAATATAGCAAAGCAATCTTAACATTGCAGCGGCAGTATGTGGGTAGTCATTGTCATAAAGCATCACAATACCCCGACTAATAATGTCACATTGCTTGTTCTGGATCGCATGACACAATTTCTTAAGTATGTTGCATTAGACACCTACATTGATCGTTAAACCTTGAGGCAAGAATTCCACAAGCAGAACACATTTTGTGTCCCAAAACACTGTGCACGTGATCTTGCAAGTTGATATGGTCTGTTTGAATTTTTTCTTTATTGGCGATGATGTGTGCCTCCATTTCATGGGCTGCTGCTTTCATTCATGAGTTGCATGCAACACCCATGTCTCATCCCCTGTGACTGTGCAGCTCAAGAAGTCAATCACCTTGCTCACTGTATCGTGTCAGAAAGGCCTGCCATTTCATTTTGAGTTCTTCTGTAATCATCTTCGGCACACAGCATGAACACAGTTTCCGAAAACAAAGTTTATCAGACACAATTTCATAAAGGAGTGACTGTGAAGTTTGTAGAAAATGCAGGGAAAGTGACAAAATGGTGAATTGTCCTCTTGAATCTTCTGTTCCACTGCATGCATCAAATCTTTATTAACCACAGTCGGTCAGCCACTCCTCAGATCATCATGCACATTTTTGTGTCCTTCACGAAAGTGTCTCCCCCATCTCCATACCATTGAATGATTCATGGCATGTTCTCCATACACCTCACAAAGTTGATGAATGTCAGCTGGTTTCACGTTTCTTGCATTCAAGAAACGGATTATAGACCTCATTTCACATGTGGTGGGCTTCTCAGTTTTCTTGAACATTGTAAATACATAGGATGATGCATAGACGTGGTTTGTATGTCTGCAAATAGCATCCATGCCTTCCAAAAGGACCAGCAAACTCTGCATGCATGCACACCATCGTGACCGCAGCACTGCAGGAGCAATATTTGCAAACAGAACATGTTTTCCAAAGACAAAAACAACACTGTCGAGTGTGACTACTTACATTTTATCACTTGAAAACTCATCACCCTTACCTGTTTTGATCCCTACAGATCATCCTCAGAGGCCATCAATACTTTTTCAGGAACTACTACATATTACAATAGGTGTTAAATTATATACATACACATATAATGTCTGAAATACACAATGTACACAATGTTCAACTTTTCAGTCACAGCAGCCTTCCTGGTATTAAAATTTTTATAGTTTTTTAAAAAACTTTGTTGTTTAAGATTAAAATTTATAAACCATGCAGGTTAGTGCCAACTCTCCTATTGTCTTTCTTGGAGGTGGCTGATCTTGTGCCGCCTGTCTAGCTTGAGAAAGGAGATTCTTAGTATTGTCCGTGTTTGTTCGTGGCTTGCTGTGTTGTTTACACTCTTAATCTTAAACAACAAAGTTTTTTAAAAAACTTCAAAAATTGTAATACCAGGAAGGCTGCTGTGACTGTGAAAAGTTGAACATTGTGTACATTGTTTATTTCAGACATTATATGTGTATGTATATAATTTAACACCTTTTGTAATAGTAGTTTACGGAAAAAGTATTGATGCCCTCTGAGGATGATCCGTAAGGATCGAAACACGTAAGGGTGATGAGTTTTCAAGTGATAAAACTTAAGTAGTCACACTGGATGGTGGTGTTTTTGTCTTTGTAATTGTTAGTGTGACAGACCAGAATGAAACAAATAAAAAAAAAGAACATATTTTGTGGATACACCTCATATTTACATAATGAAATATATCTGCATATGCACACAAGCGCCAAAACATGGAGACTTATCCTTAGTGGAGTACATGTTCGTTACAGTCACTGTTCTGCCATACAGCTTCCAGTAGATGACTGTGTATGTTCATAATCATTTGGTGGCACATGTCCTCCTACACATTGGACTATTGTGGCCTAGAGCTCCATCAAACAAGCCAACTTTTTGCAAACAGTCGTCCTTCGTGACTCTTCAAAGCAAGTCTCAGTGATACAACATTCTAGCTTTTATGTCATCAGAATCATCCACATAGATGGTAATCAGCATGCTGGGCAGAAGTCACATATGGGACAAAAGGACTCATGGAGGAAGCCTATGTTTATGTTCGTTGTGTCTGGCATGGGCTTATCACTCATAAAACATTGTGTGTTTATCAGTAAACCAACAGCATCCAGTTGAAGGTAAAATGTTATGCAATATGTGTGACTACTGCTTGGAGTTCAGAGTTTGATCAAACAAGAATGGTCTGATTAGCCTATGATTTGATATGGCAGCCAACACTGTAATAGGATGCATGATGCACTTTCCTGGTGAACATGTGCAGATTTTGTCCAAAAGCTCATATTTTGCAATATGGCAGCTTCAAATTTAGTCAGTCCATTGAATTTAAATCTCTGTTCTTAATTATGTACTGTAATTTTGTGCATTCTCATTTTCTATGGATATACATGCAAAACTTGTAGAGGTGAAAAATATTTATCACCAGTGCTGGAAGATATATAAGATTTGCAGTGGCCATATCTCAATACTTGCAAATTAATAGAATTTGTGTTTACTGTATTTGGAAACAGGTGTGAAATTAATGGTATGACATGAAAGAAGACCATAGAGCTCCAGCTTGTGAACTAGAACCCTTGGTCCACTGGATGGAATTAAATGAAGGGAATATTATAATAGAAATGGCATTGAATGTTGACAGTATACAGTGCTGGACACTGTAAATAATTTTGTGTTATCTGTGATAAATGTAGTGCTGTACCTTCATGCATTGGTCATTGTTACTGACTAGACTGTCTGAGATATTATGCAAGTGTCATGATAGTACCTTGAAAGACTATATTTCAAATTCCTACATACTCATCATCCATCTTCCCATTTCATTATAGAGAACATCCTGTTACACTTTATTAATACCTGAAGACTAAAATTCCTAAGTATAGCAACTTTTAATAGAGAGATAAAGTCTGTTGCCTGCCTTTATGCCGTATAACCTCTACATTTGCAAAGTCAACAAACTTAATACATCATTCTCGTTAGTTTTACAACTTATTTGAATGTAATGGCAGTAGATGGAACAGTACTTGTATTAACCATGCTTTTCATGCATATATTTGAAAGTGTTATGGTAATTGTGATTAACTGGCAATTATGTATACTTTTCTGCAAGCAGTTTTGTATAATAATGGGTTATTAAAATAACTGGATTATTCGCATCTTCTACAATATGTGTGCGTGTGTGTAAAATGTGATAAGGAAGCATATTTAAGGAGTCTCATCAATGCACAAAATAAGAAAAGTAAACCAAAAATTATATCTTCATTGACTGGGACTGTGTCTTTGCACATGCACCCATTATCCATCTAAATGGCAGAGGTAGAAAGTATGAAAGGAAGGAACGGATAATGTTACAATGTATTAGTTTCCTTTATTTATATATATTTATATTTATATCTATACAATTCATATAGTCTTATTTATAAACTCATCGTCAGTAATCTTTGTAGAGGACATCTAACCATTACATTTATTAATACATAAAGACTACAATTCTGGTAAGTGTAATAATAATAACATAATAAAGTACTTTTGGTTTTCATAATTTAAGAAAATCTTCTGGCTGGCAGTTGTACATTAAAGTCAAAATCTTAAGGAGTATTGTAATATTCTCGAGCAGAAATATGCATTTCACCATCCCATTCACACATGCTTGCTTCCCTTGGTTGTGTTCTGCAAACACCAGGCAACTGAAATGTGTTAACATTTCTTTTTTGGCTATCACAGCAATCTTGCAGAAGCCTTGAATGTCATACACTCCTTCTTCCCCTCTAGCTTAACTATATTGTTCACATGGTTCATTTATCTGGCACTATGTGAGCACATTTCTCAAATGGCCACTGTTCCACTCATAGCACGTGTGTCCAGTGCCACTGATCATGGCAGCTCTTAATTTCTTTAGGAAAGGTTCGTCACCTTATAACCAAATAATTTATTAGCACACTAACACAAAAACCCCACCCCAGTGTATTAAACATAACACCCAAAGACATAGGCCTTAAGCTACTAACATGGCAT